AAATGTCAAGGTGCGTGGCATGAGTTTTTTTTTTTTTTAATTATTATTTTCTTTAACTTTATTTTATTTATATACTTATTTTAAAAATTTGACCAGAGGGGTGCAGCGTGAGAGAGAGAGGGAAAGTGAGAAAGCAAACCGCCAGGTCCAGGACTCGAACTACGGTCGGTCATGTGGGAGTCTAGTGCCCTTAACCACCAGGCCTCCGCTATAGGATGTGTGTGCTGACCAGAGAGAGACAGGAGAGAGAGGGAAAGTGGGAAAGCAAGTCACCAAATCTGGGGCTCAAACCACAGTTGGCCATGTGGTAGGCCATGTGGTGTGCCTTAACCACCACACCACCTGTTGGCCCCCATAATGTCTGTCTTTTTTTTATTTTTGTAAATAATTATTTAATTTTATTTATTATTATTACTATTTTTAAAAAATATGACCAGAAAGAGACAGAAATAGAAAGAGAAAGCAAGCTACCAGGTCTGAGACTGAAATCCTGGTCAGCCATGTGGCACCTTAACCTCCATGCCACCTGCGAGCCCCCTGCCCCATAATGGCTTTCAGTGACCCTCAAATTGAGCTTTAAGCTAATGACAGATTTAAAGTTAGACAACATTTACTAGTTTGTAATTCTGGTATGTTTTAAAACATTGAAAATAGTATGTTTATTCTTTGTAATGTGAACTTTTAGTTTTGGTCATTGTATATTTTGAATTGCAGCAGAATTCATTAAGATTCTTTGTCTTCTGTTTTCTGTTCTCCATCTTAGACGTGGTGTTGTTTTTGGTCTCTGGAGTGCCTGCGCTTCAGTGGGCAATATTCTGGGAGCGTGCCTGGCTTCTTCTGTTCTCCAGTATGGTTATGAGGTAGGCATTTTTCATAGCATTGTCATATTCATGTGTGTATGTAATATACATACTGTTTTTCATAGTATAACTCTATGGCCATTTAAAACTACCCAAGGCTCGGGACCAGCAGATGGAGTAATGGCTATATTGCTGGACTTCCATTCTCTTCTATGCCTGGTGTGAGTTTTAATCTGCTGGGTATGGGGCTAGAACCATGTTCAACCATGCTGGGGTCCAGCACCCCAACCACCATGCCTCCTGCTGGCCCCAAATCCAGCTTTCTTTGGCATTAATTAAACTAACTTTAAGAACATGCTTCCAAGGTTAACTTTCAGCACTCTGATAGAGTAATAACCCTTCCCAGAGCCTAAGGGTTTAAAAGGTTCTTGACAGAATTTGACCCTGTGAGATAGTTCGCGTCATCCCTGAGTTACAGAGGAGGGGAAAGACTGAGAACTGACGTGACTTGCTGGGATTCCGGGTTGTTGGACAGTAGAAGGGATGAAGACGCTGCTGCTCACGTCTCTACACGTCCAGCCCAGAGCTGTGTCTGCCTGACACCCCTTCTTCTTTCTGTGCATCATCTCTTCCTGGGTGGGGGGGTCTAGATTTGCTATCACCTAGGTCTTTCATTTTCCTCACAGAACATTTCTCTTTTCCTTCTTCCCACCCAGTACCCATTGTTTACAGCCTTGCCTGTGCTGCATTTTTTTTTTTTTTTTTGGAGAGGTTTTTGCTATAGGGCGCATGCACTCGCCAGAAAGACAGAGAGACAGAGAGACAGAAAGCGAGAAATCACCCCCCAAGGGGGATGGCCATGCCGCAGTCCCTTCTCCATTCTCCTCTAGGGATCTTGGGCACGCACACACATGTGCCTGGCATGAGTTTAAGCCACTGGGTCCGGGACGCGAAACGCAGTCGACTATATGGGAGTCTAGCAACATAGCCATTACGCTAACTGCTGGTCCCTCCTGTGCTGCATTTTAACTGCCTCATGGATGAATCAGCTATTTGATGCCACAGTGCTAATGACTGGTAATGGCTCAGCTATCCCTCTCCAGAGAGCTTTCCTTTTTTCTTTCTTTTGAAAAATGGATTAAGCTGGATTCTTACGAGTCCTTCCCCTTGTTTTTCAAAAATAATTACCGTGTGTTTATGTCAGTTTCTTCAGAAAGCATGGAGATTTTGGAGCTAGTGCTGAGTGCACACTTGTCATAGTGCCCCTTAGTGTCCAGGAACCTTAGTGACCCTCTCTGCTCTCTGAGTCGCTGGCCCCCGAAAAGCAGCGAGAAAGCCAGAGAGCATACCTGGCACCACGCCCGCTTGGGAGAGCACTGGGCGCTCACGTCCCTCCTGATCTCTCCGGCCTTTGCTCCCTAACCCCGTCCCCTCCTCTCCCACCCCACGCTGTGCGATTCGTGAGTGTGTTTGTGGTGACTGTCCCCATGTGGGTAAGAACCACCTTTCCCCCCTCTCCTCCAGTATGCCTTTCTGGTCACGGCGTCAGTGCAGTTCTCTGGTGGGATTGTCATCTTCTTTGGACTCCTGGTGTCACCAGAAGAAATTGGTAAGGAGAAGCTGTCTCTTCTGTTCAGAATGGTGTACTGTTGTGGGCAAAGGGGAACCCTAGGCTGGGAAATCAGATTTCTTTTTTTCTAGGAAAACGGTGAGCTCCTTTTCTGAATTAAGGACAGGCTGTCGATTTTGTAACCGACCCCCAGCCCAGCCATGTGAGTTGTAACCTTGTACAGACATGGAAGTCCAGCCTTGTTTACATATTTCTCACAAACGGAACACCAGCTGGTAATTTGGATGGATTTTTTTCTAATTGTGATTTTTGAAGCAGACTTCTCCTTCATAAAAATTCCAGTTGAGGCCAGCCGGTGGCATAGTGGTCCAGGCAGTTGGGTCTCACATGGCCCACTGCACAGTTCGAATCCTGGACTGGGCAGCCTGAGGAATATGTCTGTTTCACATGCATGTGTGGCCAAAATCCCCAGAGGAGAATGGGGGAGAAGGGATTGTGGGGTGGTCACCTCCTGGGGTGATTTCTCACTCCCCTTCTCTCCTCTCTGACAAGTGCACATGCCCTATAGCAAAATTAAAAGAAAAAGAAAACAGATTCAGATGAACACTTACCTGGCTAAATACAGAATATATAGAAATCAAACCACAGAAGCAAAGAGATGTAGAGTTCTCCTGTCCTTTAAATATTGTACAACAGACTCTTTGACCTTAGTTGACCTTGGTCTCTGAACCCTCGTTGCTTCTTCTGTAAAACAAATAAAAATATCAGCCCCATAAGTAATGATGTATGCAAAGCCCTTAGCACCATGCCAGGCCTGTAGCAGGTCCTCTGTAAAGGGTGGCTGTTGTTGTTTTAGGTCTCCCAGGTATTGAGACAGAAGAAAATTCTGAAGAAGACTCACACAGGCCTTTAATTAGTGGTGCTGAAAATGAAGATGAATTCGAGCCTAATTATTCAATCCAAGAAGACAGTGCTCTTCCCCAGGTCAAGGCCATAAGCTTTCATCAGGCGTGTTGCCTCCCTGGAGTCATACCGGTAAGGACCGTTCTGTCTCCTCTCTGTGGCCAGCGAGGCTGTAGTGGGCCCGCGGTAAAGCTGTTAAGTACTTAGCTTCTCTTTGACCTGTATTTCAGGAGCGAATGTTCAGAGGAATGTTGTCTGTGCTCATCAGCCTCTCTGATGTCTGATACAGGGGTTGGCACACCTTTTCCGTGAAGAGCCTAAGAATAAATACTTCGGCTTTGCGGAAACTGCCGTCTCTGCACCACTCAGCTCTGCACAGCAGCAGATGCTGTGGACGGTGTGGGATGGTTGGGTGTGGTCAGGGAGAAGGGATTGTGGGGTGGTCACCTCCTGGGGTGATTTCTCACTCCCCTTCTCTCCTCTCTGACAAGTGCACATGCCCTATAGCAAAATTAAAAGAAAAAGAAAACAGATTCAGATGAACACTTACCTGGCTAAATACAGAATATATAGAAATCAAACCACAGAAGCAAAGAGATGTAGAGTTCTCCTGTCCTTTAAATATTGTACAACAGACTCTTTGACCTTAGTTGACCTTGGTCTCTGAACCCTCGTTGCTTCTTCTGTAAAACAAATAAAAATATCAGCCCCATAAGTAATGATGTATGCAAAGCCCTTAGCACCATGCCAGGCCTGTAGCAGGTCCTCTGTAAAGGGTGGCTGTTGTTGTTTTAGGTCTCCCAGGTATTGAGACAGAAGAAAATTCTGAAGAAGACTCACACAGGCCTTTAATTAGTGGTGCTGAAAATGAAGATGAATTCGAGCCTAATTATTCAATCCAAGAAGACAGTGCTCTTCCCCAGGTCAAGGCCATAAGCTTTCATCAGGCGTGTTGCCTCCCTGGAGTCATACCGGTAAGGACCGTTCTGTCTCCTCTCTGTGGCCAGCGAGGCTGTAGTGGGCCCGCGGTAAAGCTGTTAAGTACTTAGCTTCTCTTTGACCTGTATTTCAGGAGCGAATGTTCAGAGGAATGTTGTCTGTGCTCATCAGCCTCTCTGATGTCTGATACAGGGGTTGGCACACCTTTTCCGTGAAGAGCCTAAGAATAAATACTTCGGCTTTGCGGAAACTGCCGTCTCTGCACCACTCAGCTCTGCACAGCAGCAGATGCTGTGGACGGTGTGGGATGGTTGGGTGTGGTCAGCTTGCCCTGGGCGCCCCGGTTTGCTGACCCTGATCTAGCCTGCGACTAAGAAGGCAAAATGGGTCTTTTTAAGTGTGTGATTTTGGCCTGTTGGATTATCACACTTAGACCAGGAAGGTTTTGAATAGCTCATTAAATCTGATTCGGACCATGTGAGGAAAAAATATTGTTTGCCCCTTTTTCAAAAAGTCTAGGACAGGGTGCCCCACAGTATTTCTGGGAAACGCATCCCAGCGTTTCCACGGCCTTTGCAGGCAGAACTTCCTGATGTCTAAACTAAATCCCTTCTGCTGCAGTTTTCTGCCTCGATGTTTCGGGCGCTCCAGCACTGGAGTGGAAGTTAAGAGGCCTAGGTTATGTTTCCGGCTTACCCACTAACTTTCTCTGAGGCCTGCGGTAAGTCGCACAACCTGCCCTCATGTCTCAGTCCCCCTTCCCGGAGTAGCAATCTTCCAGGCTTCCCCGGGTCTGTAGCGGTGGGTTATTGTATTGTGAACTAGCACCTGGTTTTGTTACTTGATTTTTGTAAAGGTGCTTCGTGAACGTCACCCCCAGGTAGTGCAGAGTCTGTGGTCCATCTTCATCCTGTCCTCCCCTGTGCCTGTGCGCCCAAGCCGAGGAACTGACATTTCAAATGCAGTTAAGAGCAAGTCAAGATGTGCGTTAATTTTCCACAGTCCTCCAAGCCAAGGGTGGTGTCTAATATGGAGAGAGTGCAGGTCCTTCAGGCCTGCTCCTAGGCCAGTGAGCAGTGTCTCTTACCTAGTTACTAAAACATTCTGCTGGTCATAGTTGGGTTTGGAGACAGAACTGAAGTTCCTGTGACGAAATGCAGGCCCCTCCTGTGTCCCTTTGTGCTCCGCACTATTGCTGTCCAGCAGGCAGGGTGTAGGGATCAGTTAACCCAACGCCTTTGTCTTCGCAGCAGCTGTCTGAACAGACTGCCCTCCTGATGGGGATTTGGCTCTCTGCAGGGTGGCTCTGGTCCCGCCAGGGAGGTGGTTTTAAAACACGTGATACCGCGGGAGTAGCTGGGAGCTCTGGGGGAAAGAATACCCTGGCCAGACACCCTCTGAAGTCCTCTGTGTCCCCCTTTTCCCTTCGGTGCCAAATACCAGGCTCTTTTGGTAATGATGCGTCGAATGTAGGCATCTCAGCTCGCCAACGCCACCACCACGTCTTGAGGCAGCTGCAGAGACACTCCCTCCTTTCCCCTGCAGGTGGGAAATAGGACTCTTGGAAAGCCTCATGTGAGAGTAATTTCAATGTCGCTGCTTTTCTTAGACTTTCAAGCTAGAGTTTAGCCACATCATTCTCCATTGTCCACAATCTTAACTTTGCTGGAAGTAGAATAACTGAAAAAGTTTGCCGTTGGCCATAAAAGCTGTGTGTTTGCCAGATTTAGTTGCCTGTGGTTAGTTCTAGTTAGTGGTGTGAATACCGTTTATCTTTGTCCAGATAAAGAGTTAGGAGTATGTACCCTACCTTCTAGGTTCAAAACCCTGGTTTGCTTCTACCAGAGAACAGATAGAGAAGCAGCAGGGGACCATGAGGGAGTAGCCGTGTGTGGTTTTTAGTCCAGAAGACCACTCTTCATGCTTTTCTAGAAGCTGATGGGGAAAAAGGGAAGACAGATTCTTGGTGAAATCAGGCAAGTGGGAATTTGTAAAGATGTCTCATTTTCAGATCAGGTACTGTTCACCCCACATTCCTTTATTTTGTTGTTTTGTAATTCCATTGTACATGGTGGCCATGCTCTGCTACCTGTTGTCATTACCAGCCACATGTTTCTCTTGTAGTATTCACTGGCCTATGCCTGCTTGAAGTTGGTCAATTACTCCTTCTTCTTCTGGCTGCCCTTCTACCTGAGTAACAACTTTGAGTGGAAGGAGGCTGACGCCGACAAGCTGTCCATTTGGTACGACGTTGGAGGAATCATAGGTAGGCCAGTGATGCGTCCTTCTCCAGAACGAAGAGTTGGCCACTGATAATCTTTTATTGGGTTATGAAATCGGGCTTTATTTGAAGTTTTCTTACTCCACAGCCATTTTTCTAAACTGTCCTACTAGCCACTCAAAAAAGAGGGAGGGGCCCAGCAGGTGGCATGGTGGTTAAGGTGCTGGACTCCCACAGTGGCCAACTGCAGTTCAAGTCCCTGACCTGGCGGCTTGCTTTCTCACCCTCCCTCTCTGGTCAAATTAAAGAATAATAATAAAAAGTAAGGTTAAATCATTCTTTTCAAAAAAAAAAAAGGAGAGACTTCATTGCAAGGAGGATCTAGCTAAGGCATGGCTGTGTATGATAGGACTTGTTTTCTCAGCCCTTTGTTGAGGGAGTCACTCATTTGGCTTAGGTCCACAGGACCCCCTTACATGAGACCCTTTTGTACACTTGCAGCGTGCCTTAGTTCTAAGCTAATTTCGTGCCAGAGGCTCGAGTCTGAATGTGAGTATCATGCAGCTTTTCTACCTCCTGCTTTCCCCATCAGCCCCAGCCAAGGAAGGGGAGCTAATTCCTTCACGTGTAGGTTTCGGATCATGAAGGCAGGAATAAGAGGGATTAGTTTTTGTGACTGTTTTCTAATTGCTTCATGTAAACAACACACGCTAACAGTAGCCAGAAATATGAACAAGGAAGTAAGAAATTGTTATTTATTTTCTTAATTGCCAGAGGGCACATGCCAGAGGGCCTTCCAGGGAGGGACAGAGAGGGAGAGGGAGAAAGCGCCGTCCACATGGTGCAGCGTCACGCTGTACTCCCGTCTCCATTTATCTATCCTGCTGAGGCTTTGGGCATGCATGCTCACGTACCCTGCACGTTTTTCTTTTTCTTTAAAAGATTTTTTTTTTTTTTTTTTGCTATAGAGTATGTGTGCTTGCCGGTGAGATAGAGACAGAAAACGAGAAATCATCCCTTGGGGGGATGGCCACGCCACAGTCCCTTCTTTTCCATTCTCCTCTTAGGATTTTGGGCATGTGGGCACACACACATGCACGTGTACCCCGCGTGAGTTTTAAATTGCCGTGTCTGGGACTCGAACTGTGGTCAACTAAGTGAGAGTCCAGTCACATAACCATTATACCATCTACTGGTCCCTCTTTTTTCTTTTTCTTCTTTTTTTTTGAGAGGTTTTTGCTAAAGGGCACATGCACTCGCCAGAAAGAGAAAGAGAGAGACAGAGAGACAGAAAGCAAGAAATCACCCCCCGAGAAATCACCCCCAGGGGGGATGGCCACGCTGCAATCCCTACTCTTCCATTCTCCCCTCAAGATCTTGGGCATACATGCACACGCGCCCGGCATGAGTTTAAGCCACTGGGTCCGGGACTCTAACCATGGTCGACTGTATGGGAGTCCAGCGACATAGCCATTACACTAACTGCTGGTCCCCCCTCCAGTGTGTTTTTCAAGCCACTGGAGGCCAAGATTCAAATTTGGCCATGTGGGATCCTGTACCCCTAACCACCAGGCTATGAGGCTAGCCCAGCAACTTCTTAATAAGATAAAAGAACACTGCATTCTGGAGTCATGGCAGAACCTTAATACCCTTTCTATAAAACTGACATGCAGACTGTGGTAAGACTAAACTCCCTGAACACGTGTCGGTCTGGGCCTGAGGCCATAGTCTTGGTGATACACTCTTACCGTATGTGAAGTGACTGCCATTATTCTTGGATCCAGAGCTGAAGGCGAGGCTGCTACCTTGAGGCCTGCCTGTACTTCCGTGTCCTTTGAAACTAAAATCGCCTGGGTGCTTGCTGTCTGAGAAGGGTGTACCAGATGGCCTGTGGCCCCTAGAACTCAAAACGGCACTGTCTCAATGTGACAGTGTTGCTTGAAGGAGTCACATCACCTATTTTTAGATATCCTGACCTATTATTACCAAACCGTAAGTGCTGCATTTAATTTTAGTGAATATTTATTGGCTGCTATTCATAGCTGCTGAGGCACAGTCCTTAATTAATCATCTTCTAAATGAAAAAAAAAAAAGAAACATCAGGAAAAATATTCACAAATTTCTTTTTTTAAAGTCATACACATGTTTTATGTATTCATTTTTATGCCACAGGGTGTGTGCATGAGAGAGAGAGACAGAGAGAAACACATCCCTGATGGGGCCTCGTTATACTGCAGTCCCCCTCCACCCATTGTTCATCCCATCAGGATCCTGGGTGTGCATACACATGGCAGCATGGTTTTTAAGATGCCAGGGCTGGGACTTGAACCCTGGTCAGCCATGTGGGATCTGGCCTTCTCAGCATAGTGTTCAACTGCCAGCCTCACGGCTTGTTTTCACATTCACGGGGGGAAGAGGACGGGGAAAGAGTACGGGAGAGTGGATGATTTTGATGATGTTTTTCTTTTTTCTAATTTTGATGTCTGCTTTGTGGTATCCCATCCCCACTTGCCGTCATGGTGGTTCCGGCCAGTTCACTTCCTGACTGGAGATCACGGAGGAAACTTCTGGAGAGTCAGCCCCCTTTCTGGATAGACCAGTGTGGTGATCCTGATAGCAAGAATAGAGGGCCCCTGGGGGCGTGCCCTGGGAAACGGAGCTGAATTAGAAGCAGATTCAGCCCCACTTACTCTTTGTGCTTGCAGGTGGGACTTTGCAAGGCTTCGTCTCTGACATCCTGCAGAAGAGAGCGCCTGTTTTAGCTCTAAGCCTGCTGCTGGCGGTTGGCTCCCTCGTTGGCTATAGTCGTGAGTATTCCTCTTCTACTGTTTTGTTTCCTGATCCCTTGGGACTGAGGTATGCATGTGCTGCAGCAGTGCTCAGCCCCAGGCGTGCTGTGCCACCTCCGTATCGGCCTGTGATCTGGGAAAGTTGCCGTCTGCGCTTTACTTCCGTCAGGAGAACACTGGCATCTCGTCTGCTTTGTGGATGTGTTTAAAAGCTTGCTTGGGAGTGTATATGCTTTGTTTGAGGGGAGGCTCCAGAGGGACAGCATTATAGCCAATAAAACAATAAAAAGGGAAAGATTTCGAAAGCGGAAAGATGGGTAATTAGTAGGTTTGGTCCAGGTCCTTTTAGATGCTGTGGAGACAGCAGAGTTTCTCTTCAGCTTTTAGAAGTCTTACTAGCTTGAGCTGCGGTAAGAGGCAGACATCACAAATAAAAGTTGGAAGGGGTGGCGGAGGCGTTGTGTGTCTCTTTGTTGTCCCTGGGAGTGTCTGGGGAGGTCGCTGAGAGCTGGGTCAGCACACGCCGTTGCTTTCTGAGTCATGCCGTCTGTGTCTTCCTCACAGATTCGCCCAAGGATAAGTCCATCAACGCGCTCCTGATGACTGTCACAGGTAGGACTGTGGCCGCCGCACCGTGCTCTGCCTCGCGTTGGCCAGTGTCTCCCCCTTGTTGGAATTGGTCAGGGTTCCCTCAGCCAGCACTAGGTGAGGTAGCCAGGTGCCACTGGGGACCACGTGCTAGTGCAGTTATATTGGAAGTTTTCATCGTCCTCAGGAGAGTGAGTTGTTGACTGCAGGAGGCACAGGAAGGGATTCCAGTGGTGTGACTAAAGTCATGCGGCCAGCCCTGCTCGGTTCCCAGCGGCCACACCGATGGTGCTGGCAGATGGGGTCACCTGTACCGTCTAAATTGCTGGTTCCTTTTCCCTCTTTTTAAAAAAACATTTGGTCGAATTTGGGTAGTTAAAGGATTAGATGATACCACTGAACCGTAATAGAGTTTGACAAGCGGGTACAAGTAGTTATGAATGAATGTGAACTGCACGGGATTAGAAAGGCTATTTCACTGGACTTTTCGTATTTTCGGGTTCTTTAAAATATGCTAGTCATGTAATCGAAGAAGACATTTCAGAAAAATGGTTGACAACTGGTTCGAGATAGGAGGACAATCTAAGAGAATTTCGATGTTTTTGTCCTGTTTCTCTGCAACACACTAGTTAAAATATTGGGGTAACGTTTTGTCTCATGCAGTGGACTCCTGGTGGAGTTCTAGGTCAGGTTTTAATAAGAACCTGCTCTGTTTGTGACTCCAGGATTTTTTATTGGTGGCCCTTCTAATATGATCAGCTCTGCTATCTCTGCGGACCTGGGTCGCCAGGAGCTGATCCGAGGGAGCAGTGAGGCCTTGGCGACCGTCACAGGAATCGTCGATGGGACTGGGAGCATTGGCGCGGCTGTGGGCCAGGTGAGAGGGCAGCAGAGGCGGGAGCCCGCGTAAGACTCCTCTAAAGACGGCAGAACGCAAGCCTGCCCGCGGCGGGGACACTCTTGTACCCTGTGATCTAGGATGCTGCACTGAAGTGTTTTCTTGTTTGTTATGTTTCAAATCTTCTTCATTTCTTTTACGAGAGTGAGAGGACAGACCCTGTTCATAGTGTCTTACACTGAGCTCCCACCCCACAGCCCCCAGCTGGCCTGCATCACGGGTACACATGCCGGCATTTGCAGGTGCACGCAGGAACCAAGCCCACCATCTTCCACATGGACCCAGCATCCCTTGAGCAGCCTGTTACTCCGTGTCAGCGAGCCAGCCCAACCATAGGGTCTTAGTCTCTTCTGAGGGCCAGCTGATGTGACCTGCTATGGAAGGGCCCTCTACCATTTTAAGTTCCTTCTTTCCACTTTACTTCCAGAGTCTTTCTGTCTGCAGATAGACTGAGACCATGTAAGACAGATAGCTCCTGGGCTGGCCCCGTGGCCTGGTGGTTAAGGCAGCTGGATTCCACATGGCCACGTGTGTGCCCCAAATGCCTGCAAGATGGAGAAGGCATTTTGGCGTGACCATGCCCATTGGTGGTGCTTTCTCCCTCCTTTTCTCTGGAAAGTACATGGGCCCTCTGACAAATGTAAGGAATAAAGAAAAAGAAAGACAGATCCTTCAGCCCTCCACCCACCTCTCAGGCGAAACCTGGTGCTACCCGGGGAGATGAATGAGATGTTCTCTCGTGGTCCACACCTGGCACACAGTCCTCCCCTTGCCTCTCTCGTGTCTCCCTCCACTAAACTCACACACGTGCGCGTGTTCCTTACGTGGTCTCTGCACTGCCTCCGAGCACATTCTGTGGCCTTCGAGGCCAGAGCTCTCCACCTGAGCGTCACAGTGTGGCTCGTGAGTGTCTGATGTGAGGCTCAAGAATTCTCAGTGGAGCACAGAACACTGAGCTGCCTGCAGCCTTGCCGAGCTAGAGCTTGGGGAGCTGTGATCTTTTTTTTTTCCCCATTGGGCACATGTACACACACGGAGAGAGACAGAGGAAGAGTGAGAAAGCAACCCCTGGAGGGCTGGCCACCCGCAATCCCTTCTCCTCCATTCTCCTCTTAGGATTTCGGGCACACGTGCACACGTGCCTGGTGAGATTTTTAGGCTCCTAGGTCCGGGACTCTAACTATGGTTGACCATGTGGGAATCCAGCTCCTTAACCACCATGACATCCACTGGCCCCTCTGTAATTCTTAAAACAGTCTGATATTTGAGATCCTCCAGGGCAAGGCTGACTCGCTGCGTAGTCTATTCTGCACGAACTATTCGAGTGGACCCTTCTACTTAACATTCAGGCCTTCTCAGAAAGGTGTTTTTCCTCTGGGATGGTCAGGAGTCGTGCCCCTCCCAGGGATACCCCTCTAGGTCATGGAGTGCTGATTTTACACATGGGTGGGATTGGTAAGCATATGTGTGGATAAAGTCGAACCTATGGAAGTCGGTGAAATAATTAATGGGGAAAGAAAAGGTGGGGGGACCTCTGAGATTCCCGGTGGTCAGAGAAACAGGAGGTCAGTGCAGTAGCTTGCAGTCCAGGGAACACAGCTGAGAAGGCCATGGGTGTCGGGCGCTCGGGACGGGGAGCTGAAGGGCGAAAGGCTCTTCAGTTGAAGATTACTGTTTTGCTTGCTGATGGGCTTGGATGGCTGCTGCCCTGGCTGGTCTTCAACGAGAGGGCAGGACTTCTCAGTCCCGGCTAGTGTTCATGTCTGTCTTTCCTACTCTAACGTAAACTCTCGGGGCGACATTTCGTTTCGGGTTCTGCTGTGGCCCTTGAACCTAGAGTGTCTGGAACATAGTGGGCATTCAGATACTTGGTGTGCGAATCACACAAGGAATGACTGATGTGATCGATGTGCTCAGTATACTTGATTTTAAGATTTCAGGACAGAAACTTAAAAAAAATACTTAGCCAAGGTAGAAGAAACCTGCTTACGTGATCACGGTCTGGAATGGGACTCAGGAAATGCTGTGGGCCACCAGCTCAGGCGTCTTCGTGTACGGGGAAAGGGTGATGATATCGGGCATCCTTTTCTGACATTAGGTTCTCTAAGGTAACCTTCTGCTCTAACGTTTTCTTCCTCATGAAACGAGGGGGTTATAACTACCACGGTGGGGCGTTCACTTCAGTTAGGAAGTCTCACCTGTCCATGGTCATGTCCCTGACTGTGAACTCGGGCAGGCATTAACCTAACCCCCGTGGCTTGGGAAGTACCAGGGTAGTTGTTAGCTTTTCTCTTTCCTCTTCCATGTTGATTTTTGAGTGATTTCTCATCACCTACGGCTGCGATCCCAAACTCCACAGCCTACTCTTTTATATTTTATAATTGCCAGAGGGCTCCTGTGCATGCTAGAGAGAGAAAGGACTTCTCACACACAAGGGGCATTGTCATTCCACAGTCCTTTCTCCCCCACTCTGTCAGGGTTTGGGGTACGTGTGCATATGCAACCAATGTCTTTTTCAAGCTTCTGGGGCCTGGATTTGAACTGCAGTCAGTCATGAGAGACCACACCCTATGCATAGGGCGTAACTGCCACACTGCGGATGGATGGTCCCACACCTGCTGTTAACATCCCGCAGGACAGCGGCAGCCACTGCACCTCACCCCGAGCAACTTTGTTGCCCTCACCTTTCCCTGGCTTCCCAGGAGACGGGTTGATTGTTTTCCCTCCTGGGTGGCCTGGCAGTTGGTGCCCCAGGAGAGGAGCGCCTGTCAGTGTATCACCTTCTCTGGTCTCTCCCTCTGACCTCGCACAGACCCTGCATCCTTGAGAACAGGAGCACTGCTTCCGCCCTCTTCGTTTTCCCGGTGCGTAGAGTGTTTTTGACACACTGCCGGCGGCTCGGTAAGGTGAGACTGTAGAGACCGGCGCCATGGCGCAGCAGTTACCCACTGTGCAGTGGGAGCCGTGCACGTGGTCAGCCACGGTGCGAGTCCCACCTCTTGTAGCTTGACACTGTGTGTGTGTGCATACGCTCGCACACATTCCTGGAATCCTGACAGGGAGAAGTGGAGGAAAAACGATTGCAGCACGACCGTGCCCCACTGCGTGGCTGCTCTCTCTCTCTCCGTTTCTCTGTCTCTGGGGAGCGCACGTGCCCTCTGGCAATCGAAAAACAAAACATTTGGAATTAGCGCTGATGACTGTGTGATGTCATGACTGTAGCTGCTGCCACTGGATGGTATGCTTAAACGTGGCTAAGATGACAAATTTTGTTTAGCTATATTTAGTCACGTAAAAGAAAAAACGGGCTCAGTGCTGTCAGGCCCTTTCAGTAATTGAAAGTACAGTACCAGAATGCTATAGGGTGGTGCAGTGATGCGGTGATCCTGTGAGCACACAGCACAACAGAAAGCGGAGCAGCGTGCTTAAGACTATTTTTGAAAGTTTCATTTATAGCACTTTCCACTGGAAGAGAGAATGATCAGACGGAGTGGCTTGAGGATGTTCATCTCTAAATAGCAAAGTGAATAAAAATAAACCTTTGAACTTAGATCTTCTGCTGTGCAGTTTTTGTATTTGGACTCTGTAAGCTGACAAAACGAGGCCACTAATAAAGCTTAGACGGGGACACATACGTGGAAGGGTTTGTTGTTGTTGCCTGAGAGGGCGTGTGTGCTGACCAGAGAGACAGAGACAGCCAGAGAGCGCGAGTACATCCTTAGTGGGATGTGGTCATGCCACAGTCCTTTTCCTTTCGTTTTTCCATCCCCTTGGGATTTGGGGCATGCTCTCACAAGCACCCTGTGTGTTTTCCAGGCCACCAGGATGGGGATTCAAACCGTGGTTGGCCATGTGGGATCTAGCTCTTTTTTTGCAGGGGGAGGGAGGAATTGTGTTTTTGCCATATGGTATGTGTGTTCACTGGAGAGAGAAAAAGAGAGAGCAGGAGAGGGAGAAAAAGTGAGAAGTCAACTCCCAGAGGGGATGGCCATACAGCAGTCCCTTCTCATTCTCCTCTCGCAATTTTGAGCACATGCACACACATGTCCAGTGTGATTTTTTGGGTGTCTGGGACTAGGATTCACATGGTTGGCCATGTGGGAATCCGGTGCCTTAACCACCATGCCACCTGGGATCTAGCTCTTGATGCATAGTGCTAGCCATGGTGCTACAGGGTGGGCCCTGTGGAAGAGCATTTCAGCTGCAGAACATTGCAGAAGTCCTAACGTGCTGCTACTTTTCTTTTTTTTCTTTAGAGATATATTTGTTATAGGGTCCATGCACTCGCTGGAGAGACAGAGACGACTTGAGAAATCACCCCCAGGGGGAAGGGCCACACTGTAGTTCCTTCTCCTCTATCCTCCTCTCAGGGTTTTGGGCACGCACGCATGCACTTACATGCACCCGGCATGAGTTTTAAGCCACAGGTCTGGACTCCAACCATAGTCAACTAGGTGGGAGTCCAGAGACATAACCATTACCCCATCTGCTGATCTGGCTGCTGCTTTTGAGAAATAGCCATGTTTCATCTTCTTAGTTAACTTTGTTTCAGTAATTTATAAAGCATTATTACACTGTTACTTTCTTCTTTTAGTATCTAGTGTCTTTGATCCAGGACAAGCTAGGATGGATGTGGGTTTTCTACTTTTTCATTCTCATGGTAAGTGTATGTCTTACTTTTTTTTATATATATGTAATTAGTTTATTTACTTTTATTTATTTATTTTGGTTTGACCAGAGAGGGACAGAGTGAGAGAGAGAGGGAAAGTGAGAAAACAAGCCACCAGGTCAGCCAGAGAGCGCGAGTACATCCTTAGTGGGATGTGGTCATGCCACAGTCCTTTTCCTTTCGTTTTTCCATCCCCTTGGGATTTGGGGCATGCTCTCACAAGCACCCTGTGTGTTTTCCAGGCCACCAGGATGGGGATTCAAACCGTGGTTGGCCATGTGGGATCTAGCTCTTTTTTTGCAGGGGGAGGGAGGAATTGTGTTTTTGCCATATGGTATGTGTGTTCACTGGAGAGAGAAAAAGAGAGAGCAGGAGAGGGAGAAAAAGTGAGAAGTCAACTCCCAGAGGGGATGGCCATACAGCAGTCCCTTCTCATTCTCCTCTCGCAATTTTGAGCACATGCACACACATGTCCAGTGTGATTTTTTGGGTGTCTGGGACTAGGATTCACATGGTTGGCCATGTGGGAATCCGGTGCCTTAACCACCATGCCACCTGGGATCTAGCTCTTGATGCATAGTGCTAGCCATGGTGCTACAGGGTGGGCCCTGTGGAAGAGCATTTCAGCTGCAGAACATTGCAGAAGTCCTAACGTGCTGCTACTTTTCTTTTTTTTCTTTAGAGATATATTTGTTATAGGGTCCATGCACTCGCTGGAGAGACAGAGACGACTTGAGAAATCACCCCCAGGGGGAAGGGCCACACTGTAGTTCCTTCTCCTCTATCCTCCTCTCAGGGTTTTGGGCACGCACGCATGCACTTACATGCACCCGGCATGAGTTTTAAGCCACAGGTCTGGACTCCAACCATAGTCAACTAGGTGGGAGTCCAGAGACATAACCATTACCCCATCTGCTGATCTGGCTGCTGCTTTTGAGAAATAGCCATGTTTCATCTTCTTAGTTAACTTTGTTTCAGTAATTTATAAAGCATTATTACACTGTTACTTTCTTCTTTTAGTATCTAGTGTCTTTGATCCAGGACAAGCTAGGATGGATGTGGGTTTTCTACTTTTTCATTCTCATGGTAAGTGTATGTCTTACTTTTTTTTATATATATGTAATTAGTTTATTTACTTTTATTTATTTATTTTGGTTTGACCAGAGAGGGACAGAGTGAGAGAGAGAGGGAAAGTGAGAAAACAAGCCACCAGGTCTGGGACTTGAACCACGTCTGCCATGTGGGAGTCCAGTTCCTTTAACCACCACGCCACCTGTCAGCCCCAGTGTATGCCTTTTTAAGTTATTACTGTTAAGCTAATTCAAAGCATTTATTTAAATCACTTGAACCAGCAAACTTGCTTATTGCTTTTAAAGACCTTTTTCTGAAGTCACTTTTTTCAGTCTGAAAGACATGTTCTTTTTCAAAGAGGAAAGGGGTCCTCTGTTTGCCCTTGACCCAAATCGAATGACTGTTGCCATTTATAATTCCAGAAAAACAAGAGCCTATTTAAAGTATTGGCAGTCATTGATGAGTTTACTCCTCTAGGCTGTTCTCTATCTGCTAAATACATTTTGGGGGTTTGGAAAATTACGTACACCCAGTAACGTAGGGTTAAGAAAGAAGCATTGCTCTAATGAGCACTGAGGTGTGTAGGTTCTAAAATGATGAGAGTCTCTGAGGACTTGTTGGTGACTCCTTAGATGTTCTGGGCTGCAATTTCGTACTTTCTGGGAAATAGTCAATACAGAGTGAGGCCTTGTGCTTGGAAAACGTTGCCCTCTGTTGAATCAGCCTATGCCGTACTCTGTCACGTTATTGGTGTGATGTATTCGAGCAGGTCTCTCGAGAGTCGGTGACGGCGTGTCCACCAGGGAGTGCATTCAGTGTCCGGTCCTTCTGTCCTGGGCATCCTGAATGAAGGCAGCTTCAGTCACCCCCAAGCCCAGTCACTTGTCCAAGGAGCCCTGGGATAGTCCCACTCCAGGGTTCCCTGGATCATTTTCCTGAGAGCCTTCTAGCTTCTAGGACTAGCTTCTCTGTTGCACTTCTGACACCCATGCTAGGTAGAGGGAGTCTCTTCTGCGGTGGGCTCAGACATGTCGCTGAGAGAAAACCGAGTCTGTTACAGGAAGCACTGTAATCCGAGCTCCACAGTCAATTTTTCTGCTCTAACTGTAGCAAATTATTTCATTTTTGTACTTCAGTGTTTTTTTTTTTTACAATTATAATGTTACATTAAGTCTTTTATGATATTAACTGTAATTTTCAAAATCATTTTCTAATTCATTGACGATTCAGTTATCTTTGTATGAAGTCAAAATGAATGTAATTGTCCAAATCCATTGCTTTGTTCAAAACATGATGTTCTCAGAGGAAATTGCATTGTTGCTACTTATTTGATACTTTTTCTTTCGCAGACCAGTTGCACAATCCTGTTTATCTCACCATTAATAGTGAGGGAAGTATTCCATCTCGTGCAGAGGAGACACACTCACATGCTGAGTGAGTGACTGGTGTCCACAAGGAAACCAGGAAGTGGAGCAGACAGAGGAGGCACGTCCGGACTCCTCTGTGCTCTTGCCTGCCCCGTCGGGGGCTGTCTGTGCACCACAGCCTCGCCTCGGATGGTCC